CCAATGCTGTAAGGGATGGAGTCAAGTGGGAGATCAGTGTATCAAAGGTAAATAACCTAATGCTAGGGTAGTCACTAAAATATCCTACACAAAACAATACCAATGCTGTAAGGGATAGAGGTAAGGGAAGGAGTATCCTTCCTCATTAAACAAAAGGAAACATTTTTCATAGATTTATCTCTCTTGTCAGCCATTTGTACTCAGCCTTGTGTGAATGGCACGTGTTCCAAACCAGACTACTGCTCGTGTTACTCGGGTTACTATGGAAAACTGTGCGAAATTGGTATGTACCAACACTTCTAACATCTTTGTAATCTTTCTCAATATGGTTCGTGTTAATATTCTTTCTTTCCTCCATCAGACTGTCCGTCACATAAATGGGGACCACACTGCAGACATTACTGTCTCTGTCAAAATAACGCTAAATGCTCTCCCCACACTGGTATCTGTATGTGTACCCCAGGGTGGAAGGGACAGTACTGCAACAAGACATGTGACCAAGGTTACTATGGTGACAAATGTCAACACCAGTGCATGTGTCTTAATGGAGCGACATGTGAACCTGTTAGTGGAAACTGCTCATGCGCAGCTGGATATCAAGGACAGCGGTAGGTGGACGTTGAAGGAGCATGCGCAACATGCGCTCGCGGGTATTACCATTAATTTGGTTTAGTTAATTAATTCACCACAGATGCTAAAGGTAAGATACAATAGACCTCCTCGGCTCTGACGTAATGTTGTCCCATTTCAGACCACGTGTCATTCCCTAGAGTATCATTCCTTTGTTTAAGGTTTGCACTCGGTTGCACATGAGAAGACACATGAATATGGATACAACTCAAACAAAGAATAATATACATATTTAGGCAATGCCTAAAAGCGTAGCTCCCGATACGGAAGTCACAAGGAGAACAATTTGAATTAAACTGAAAGGTAAAAATACGATCGGGGGAAAAACCCTCAATATTTTTTTATTCGAGATAAAGATAATTTCTCCCATAATAAAAACCATGCAGTGAAATCGAATTGAAATGCACTACATTGTTTTCTTTGCGCGAGTATAATCTCCCACTTAGGAATTTTGTTTACAACTCACCACCACCCCCACGGGCTAGTCTTGTTCTTGGAACGTTTTCCAAGGCCGATAGTTTTAGGCTTTCATCAATCTCTTTTACTTAAAGAAAAACGAAAGATAACTATAGATAATCCAATACAATATCAAGTATAGTGAAATTTACCTCGGATGTCTTTCATTGAAATCGAAAATCTGCAGATTTAGGGCAAATCAAGACCAAAAAACAGACTTGAAAACTGGTAAAGGTGAGCAGAAAATATGCTTACTTTAATTACGTCTTTTACAGAACGAGACGAAATTTACATTCAGTTAAACTTGACAAGAACAACTGATGCAAAATACAAAATGATGAATTTCTTGTCAGCAAATTGGCGTTTGTAAATGTTTTTGAACATTTTTTAGCTTTTTAAAGTGAAAGTCTAGGTCTATACAATAACATCATCATACTTTCTCGAACAGCTTAATAAAAGTTGAATATTTGGTGTAAATTTATATTTCATTCAATAATTAAATAAATTATCGGTACAAAGATATAAAATTTTTGAATGAAAGTCGTCTTTGTTTTGCCGATGTGACCCCGCGATAGGAGGCGAACAAAGCTTCATTTTTCTTGAACGAAAAACTTACGATACTTGGTTAAAAACAACAGAATTGTTAAAGATTTACAAAGCTAAATAAAGGAGGAATATTTGTTGTCGTTATATGCTCTCCAAGTTATTTTTCCTCCAGTATTAAAATAAATTAAGCTTATCTATAGAAATATAAAAAGTTTTGAGAGAAAGTCTTTGATTTGTCGATGCGTCGAGAAAAGTGCTTGTCAAAAAATAATAATAATATACGATTGTTTACTAAGAAACACACGCCTGAATTCTTGAAAAACACTTCTTGATACATCACATGAAAGTTTTTTAAATTGTTTTCGGTCTATAACTTGTCCTAAAGCGCTTTTTTTCTGTGCATTTAAGAGCCGCATTTGTGAGTAGTTTTGCTTTGACATCAAACGGGATTCCTGAGTTGTGTACACGGACGGACGGACGGACGGAAGTGACGTCAGCCAAGCCATGTAAAATCAACTCGATGGTTTACCATTTTTTCTTAAGTATGGTGCTCCGCACGCGCGAGCCTTGGGCCCGCGCGGGAGCTTCGCTATTATTCTCAAGGGAATGACACGTGGTCTGAAATGGGACAACATTACACTCGAGCGCTCTAGAGCAGAGGAGGTCTATTTGCTTGTTTTCAGATGCAAATTCAAATGCTATTCTGATTTGTACGGCGAAAGCTGTGCTCGACAATGTGAATGCTAGAAAGGAGCTTCTTATGAACACGTGAACGGCACGTGCAAATGCATGCCTGGTAAAACAGACCTTGCCTTGCCTTGCCTTGCCTTGCCTTGCCTTGCCTAGAATTTCGTCTTTATCAACAGATGCGAGAGGCTATGCATGGATGATATCATGGGATGCAAATGTCAAGGAAACTGCGCATGTCACAACAACGCCACTTGCTCCCCACATGGCTTTTGTAACTGTATCCCCGGCTATACCGGCATGCTATGCGAGAAGCGATGTTCCGCGGTTCTAAGCCGCTGTATAAGACAGTGCAATTGTAGTCAGTGGGGATACTGCAATCCTTATTCTGGTTTGTGTTCGTAAGTACCATACAACATTATCGTACAAAAGCTTTTGGGCATTTGTTTGAATATACCTGTGGACAACAGCAAGTAACTAATTATTGAAAACGTTTCCGTTTACATTTTGAAGATGCCAGCCCGGATACGTTGGTGAAGATTGTAGTAAACTTTGCCCGGATGGACAATATGGACCAGGATGCACCGCGCCCTGCAAATGTCAGAACAATGCAACATGTAGCAAGGTGGATGGATCATGTGACTGTCTACCCGGGTGGACTGGTGTTGAATGTAATACTCCATGTCCGGCTGGTAACTATGGGAAAAACTGTCAATCAAAGTGCTTATGTCAGAATGATGCATCATGTGACCCCGTGACAGGACAATGTAAGTGCGTGGGGGAGTGGCAGGGGAGATTTTGTAATGCTAGTAAGTATGGAAAACAATTTAAAATTCTGTAGAATCTCTTTTAATAAGAGGCCACGTACCTTTAAACGTCCATCCACTATTTACCAACCAATTGTCAAAGTCCCGCAAGTATTTTTTACTTCTTTTTTCAAAAACGACCAAGAGCGTTTCTTATATATGGCTATGAGTTAGTCTCTTAAAAATTGAAAATAGCTAGCAAAAAAAAAAAAAAAAAAAGATGCATGTGCAACATGCAACACAACCAACAGAAACCCAGCATCGATGATATTTCAAAATTCGTGAGGGGGAAGGGTGGACGGAAGGGACCTCCGATCGATCCATCCCACTTCCATTTTCTTTTTCAAATCTTACCATCCTTTTTTCCAGGTACGACTTTTCATCGAGGAAAACAAAGCAAATATAAAGATGAATTCCTTCTACCAGGCGTGCTTTGCGGTGTCGGTTTTATCATCATCATAACCATTGTTGTTGTGGTACTGATAAAATGTCGAAAGCAAAAAAAATCGGACAGAATAAAAATGACAAAAGATCCTCCCGTGACCGAAAAGGACAAAAAAAAAGTCGAGTCTTCTATCAAAAACGGCGGGAAAAGAAAGAGGAAGCGACAAGCAAAGAAAAAGGAAAACTCTAATTTGGATATTAATCTTGAAGCTCCATTTTACGTTAATTTCCAAGCTCAAAACTCAAAAGAAAGTCATGTGGTCAGTGTCAGTACCGTAACTATAGAAACTCATTATACTGACCTCCGTTATGCTGATAGCCTTGGCAACCAAGATGTTTATCAATCTCTTGATAGAAATTTGAAGGACTCTCAGCTTAACGGCATGGGTATCTATGGCAACCAAGAACATTGTCATGGTTACCCCAAGGGTTTCCATGGCGACTACCAGTCTTTGAGAATTGAGCAAGGGGATAATCACGTTTATCAAGGTCTCTCGTTCAAAGATCACTCGACTGGTGAAGTTGAATCCCCGGCACTATACGATAATGTATCCCGTGTACTCGAGATCTCTGAGCCTCAGTATGAAATCAGCCCATTAGAGGAGGACGAGACATATATTACGATGATTTCATAAGAGCCCTCTCAGTTGGATTAAGATGATCGAAGTCCATATCTAATAAACATATTTCATACTTTGGAATAAATAGCATATTTCATATTTCATATGCCATATAAACATATAAACATATTCGGCATACTTTGGAATAAATAGCATATTTCATATGCCATATAAACATATTTCAATAAAGTTAGTCACCAAAAACCTAGAAAGCTGAGATCACTGAGCATCATGGGAAACTTTCCATATCAAAAAAAGCTTACATATGCAAAGCTTTTTTAATACAAACTGCAGCTCGATGATGCTCAGAAGAGGTGAGACTGTAACCGGTAAAAAAATCGCAAGTCCATAAACAGTTATCAAGCGGTTGAACGTGTAAAATAAAATCTACCCATGATCCTTGTCGGCCTTAGCTTTATTATTTTTCAGGTGACTAACTTTATTGAAATATGTGTATACCTCGAGGTAAATAGACAGACAGACAGACAGACAGACAGACAGACAGACAGACAGACAGACAGTGCAATCATTCACTGTCATTACATCCGTCGGTCCGTCAGTCCCTTCTTCCCATTTGTCAGTTAGTCGCTATATTTCCGATTCGATCTGTGAGTAAGTCGTACACCGATTAAGTTAGATCGCCCCAGGTTGTTTAGCGTATTGATAAAATTAGAGACAAATAGTTATTTATGTCCGTAAGAAAAAAAAAATGTAAATATTTAACAGTTACCACTTTCGATTCGTACTAGCAATCAAAGCTGAAGGCAGCACATCACTTGTCTAGCTTTCTTTTTCTTGTTCTGTTTACGCGGCTGACAAACAAGACTACATGGAGTAATAATGATACCTAGATTTGTCAAGGTCTTTGCCTTTAGTTCCTTTGTGATTGAATTATCTCTTCTGGCTCAAAGCTTAGCAAACTTGGCACCGAATGGAGCGAATGTCTGCTCGAAGACTGTAAGGTCAGTGTGAATATCATCTTGGTTGGCGGTAGTTATATTTATGATAATATCTATGATGAACAGTCAAAGCTTTTAACAGACTCAGTAGAGTCTTGAGAATCTTGAGAAACAAGGCGCTAAAATGCTGTCAAATAGATAAATGTTATAGTAGAGATGTTAGTTTCTTCCGTGGTCTGTTTTCAACACAAATGTATTGAGTACTCGATCAAGGTTTGATGTGGCTCACTAAATCTAACTTAAATAGAAATTTAGGCTGGCTTACAGTACATTAAGCGACGTGAAAACATGTAAATAGAAAACTATTCATGATCAAAAGTTGACCTTAGACTCGAAACCCAAAGCATATAATTAATCAGTTTAACGTAATTAAGCAGTTTTAATCATTTCGCGTCACAAATGTAGCAATAACAAAAAAGGATACTATTAAATAGCTGCATATAGCTGTGGCAAAAACACTCAGTTTCAAAAACCCATTTCGTTATGTTGTTGTCAGTGTTGGGTGTATAATAATAATAAACTTTAATAGTATTCTCCCAAGAGGGCTTTTCAGAAACTATTTACGAAAATAGAATTACATAACTAGCAATAAATAAAAACGTTAAGCATTTAATCAAGCCTTGCTTGAAGATGCGCTTTCATCGCAGCTTTGAAGGTCTTTAGCGTAGTTTTGGTTTTGATATTAGCGTCTAACTCATTCCAAATCTTAGTAATACACTTCGAATAAATACATCCATGATGCCTTATTTTACGCATTTGAAGTAATGTTTCAAATACGAGTTGCTGTATTCTATTGGGGTTTCAAAATCCGAGTGAAATTCCACGAGGATTTTGAAACCCTAATACAATACAGTGACAAGTATTTGACACGACATCTTATACTCTTTTTGTTATGTTTGTTTTTATTTCAAAGTTCTAGTACTTTGAAATATTTTAAAGTCCGAGTAGTAGGACTTTGAAACATTTCAAAGTACTAGAACTTTGAAATGGGTGCGGTAGTATTTGTTGGGGGTTTCAAACTACCGAACGTGGTATAAATAAGAAACCCTGGTTGGTCGATGAGCTCATGAATAATTAATGAGTATAAGATGCGGGGTTTTTTTTTTTTTTTTTTTTTTTTTTAATTATTTCTTTGTTTTTAAATGAAATTGAAAAGAATAAATTCAACGTCAAACATGGAAAATAAAGCAATGTAGATATTTTCAAAAGGGTCTATACCATATATGGACTAGATGTCTCTTGCCTCGTCCAGCTTGATAAGTAACTAGGGAAAGCTAGGGAAGTGAAGGTGCAGATACTGATACAGAATAGGAAAAAGATATGAAAACTATATGTTGATAAATTGATAGAAGAGATATTTGAGACTTTTTTTGGGTATAAAATAATGGTTTTAGCTTTTTATTGAATGCGGTCAGATGGTATTTAGAATTGAGTGGTATTCACACATAGATCTGACCCTTGCTACGCCAAGTGCCCTACGTTTTTTCTCAATGAAACTCACGTCATGAGTTATTTTAGATGTTCTTCTAGAACATATCCAAAAACCAGTTTTTTCGTTCAAGAAAAATACAGCTTTGTTTGCCTCCTATCGCGGGGTCCCATCGGCAAAATAAAGATTTTATAATTTTATATCTTTCCACAGATAATTAATTTAATCACTGAATTAGATATAAATTTACATATTCGACTGTTTATTAAGGCTGTTCGAGCAAGCATGATTATAAAAATGAGCTTAAATTCATGTGTTGTTGAGAGATGTTATTGTATAAAGGCCTTGTCTTTCACTTTAAAAAGCTAAAAAATATTCAAAAACATTTACAAACGCCAATTTACTTACAAAGAAATTCGTCATTTTGTATGTTGCCTTGGCCTTTGCATTATTTTCTATTTTGTCTCAGTTGTTCTTGTCAAGTATAACTGAATGTAAACTTCGTCTCGTTCTGTAAAAGACGTAATTATTAAAGTAAGCTTATTTTCTGCTCGCCTTAACCAGTTTTCAAGTCTGTTTTTTGGTCTTGATTTGTCCTAAATCTGCAGATTTTCGATTTCAATGAAAGACATCCGAGGTAAATTTCACTAAACTTGATATTGTATTGGATTATCTATAGTTATCTTTCGTTTTTCTTTAAGTAAAAGAGATTCAAAGCCTAAAACTGTCGGCCTTGGAAAATTTTGTCGAAGAAAATCTTCCAAGAACCAAACTAGCCCCTGGGGGTGGTGATGAGTTGTATACAAAATTCCTAAGTGGGAGAGTATACTCACGCAAAAACAAAAAAACAAAAACAAAACAAAACAAAACAATGTACTGTATTTCGATTCAATTTCACTGCATGGTTTTTATTATGGGAGAAATTATCTTCATCTCGAATAAAAAAAAATTGAAGATTTTTTCCCCGATCTTATTTTCACCTTTCAGTTTCATTCAAATTGTTCTCCCTGTGACTTCCGTAT